TGATAATGTAGGTTTCAAATGAAAAAAGGATTATTAAAATCGGTCCAGTACTTTTTGAGTTTATCCATTACATACAAAAATACAAATCTTTCCTCTTTATAATATTAGTATAGATTTTCTACATGGACATTTCTACGAGACTTGTGTAGTTTATTTTTTCAATTTATAATCGATTGACTTTGTTTAGAACATCTAGATATTGGATAAAAAGGATTGAAAAAATAGCGCCGCTAACAGCAAAATGTTGAAAATAAAAATTTTCGTTAATAATAACTTGTATTAAAAATTACCAATTTTTTAAGGCGATTAATATTTATTCCTGTATCGTAAAAGTATGTAACTCTAATAACATTCTAAGTACGCATTCATTCAAAATATCTTCTTAAGTTATTTACGTTCCCTTAAGATATATCTTTTTTTTTTTTTTTATTTAAAAGGTCTACAAAACTAAGCTTTAATATATAGACATGATATAAATGGCTTTATACAAGTAAAAAATCTTAAAAATTAAGCTTATAAATATGTAGACACGACATGCAGATAAAGTTTAATCGTACAAAGTAAATAATAATTAAAACTAATAAAAATGTAACCAAACAACAAAACTGATACTGAAAAATAAATATTATATTAGTGCTCTAAAAGGAGACTTAGTAATTGTCGGAGGCCGGAAGTACTGTGATAAAAAATATCCAGGTCTGAAGAGTGATTGTTAAATAGTTTGCACATACGATGCAAAGGGGAGTGTTGACCAAAATTGGTTCGACGGTGCGGAAGAGCGAAAGTGAATACGTTGTGAATACGACTACTTGCACGGGGAACAGAAAGATTTAAGCGGTTAATTAGGTTGATGTTATCTATTTTGTTATTAAATAATTTTGATAGAAATAAACCGTCAGCTAGATCACGTCGATGTTTTAGAGAAAGTAGTTTGTAATGCTGAAGTCTCTTTTCGTAGGAGGTAAGGGTTTTGCACAGGTTCATAGCATATGAAAGATGATATAGAAACTTTTTTTGTAGTCGTTCTATTCTGTCAATATGAATGGAATAATATGGGCTCCAAACAGGACTGCAATATTCTAGTACGCTTCGGACAAAGCAATTAAATAGAATTATGGATACTTCTGGATCGTTAAAAAATTTCGTTTTTCGTAGAACAAACCCAGACAACTTCGATCCCTTTTTACAAATGGTTGCTATGTGCTCCCTAAAGTCAATTTTTTTGTCTATTACGACCCCTAAATCGCGCATGCTTGATACTTCTTCGATCGCTACTCCATTAATATAATAAACAGTATTATCAGGTACCTTTTTCTTTGTCACTTTCATGTGGTAACATTTAGTGAAATTCAATGACATTTTATTGCTTTGACACCACAAGAGTAAAGAATCTAAGTCATTTTGCAACTGTAGAACATCTTCAGTAGTACGAATTATTCTATAAATCTTGAGATCATCAGCATACATTTGAAAATTAGAGGATAACAAAGAACACAAATCATTTATATAAATTGCAAAAAATAAGGGTCCAAGATGTGAGCCTTGTGGTACTCCCGACGGCACTGTTTCAGATTGAGATTTAAAACCTCGAATCGTAACTATTTGCGAACGATTCCGTAGGTATGATTCGCACCATCTCAATAGGGATCCACAGATACCGGCATGACCTAGTTTTTGGATTAGGAGATTATGTTGTACAAGATCGAATGCTTTAGAAAAATCGGTATAAATAGTGTGAGTTGAAAATCCGTCTTCAATGCCATCCGAAACATCACTAATGTATTCAACAAGGTTGGAAGAGGTAGATCTGCCAGGAAGAAAACCATGTTGATGAGAATCAATGAACGCTTTTAAGAAAAACAACAATCTTTTTTGAACTAAGGATTCCAACAATTTCCCTAAGGATGACAATATTGATATTGGCCTATAGTTAGCTACATTTTTTGAGTCTCCTTTTTTATGGATAGGTCTAATAAAGGCCGTCTTCCATTTAGTGGGAAAAACACCTTCGCTCAGTGATTTGTTGAATAACAAGAAAAGGGGACTCGCTAATTGTAAAGAACAGTTTTTCATAAAGGTTGGTGGAATGCCGTCAGGTCCAGGACCCTTGTTAGGATCTATGCTACGTAGTGAATTAAGTATGTCAGGCTCGGGTAAAAAAATGGATCCCATAGAAGGACCGGACGTAGAAGAGGAACAAGACGTCATTGAATCGTTTGTAAATGAAGTATCATAAAAGGAATTAAAGTATTCTGAAAAAAGTTTTGAAATCTCTTTACCGCCATGCGCGCTTTGATCATTAAAAATCATATCATCCGGTATATCGCTGCAATCAGATTTAAGGGAATTGACGAATGACCAGAAAAATTTAGGATCAGACTTTATATGTGATTTGGCATTCTGCTTCATTAACATGAAACATTCTGAGATTAACTTATTACATCGTTCTCTTAATATTTTAAAGGAAAGGAAATCACTGGGGTTAGAGTAAAGTTTATAACGTCGATGGTATTTTGCTTTTTCTTTTAGTGTTCTAATTAAGGATTTACTAAACCAAGGGGGAAAGCGCGTGCCTTTACGTCGTTTTAACGGTGTATATTTTTTGATTATAGGAAAAATAGTATCGTAAAAAACTTCAACCGCATGATCAACCGACAGTTCGGATTTTAGCTTTTCATTCCAATCAACCTTTTCCAAGGCAGCTTTAATGTTTACATAGTCGGCTTTATTGAAGTTTAAAAAAGGCTCGTTACTGACCTTAGGGGGTTTATTTATGACAGATTTAAGAGATATAACGAGCGCAGGGTGATGATTGTCAATTTTAACCAGAGGAGTAGAACAGTTGGAGACGGAGAAAATCTGATATTGGTTAGTAATAATCAGGTCTAAGATACGGTTATTATAATTGACGTGTGAATTAATATGTTTTCGATTTTTTAAATATCTAACATTATTTAAAAATTCGAAAATAAATTGAAAAAATTTTCGACTCGGGCAGAACTTGAACCGGCATCGTCAGCTTTCCGTGCTGTTGCCCTGCCCGAGTCGAAAATTTTTTCAATTTATTTTCGATTTTTAAATTATATAGTGCCTTCATGTGCAATAACATGTGAAAAAATATTAATGTTTTCAAACGTATATCTAACATTGTATAAGTGTCTATGTATAGACATATAAATTAAACGACGGGACAGATGGCGCTAGCGTAGCAACTTTGCTTTAATATCAAGGACATCCTAAGAAAACCTCCAGCAGTCAGTTAACATTAAAAGTAGGTAACTAAAACATTTCGCGTTATGAACCGTTAAATATACTATAAGTATACTACACGCGTAAGCTACAGATAGTACTTAATGTATGTGCATAGTTGAAATAGATTAATTCGGTATGTTGTCCTTAGACCCTTCGTGATGTAGCGATCTCATGTTTGTGATCATGTGACCTCAATTATTATTAGCATAATATAATCGGAGGGCTTATCTTTATGACGTCAAATATACTTAATAAATAACATTTACTTAAAACATAAAAAAATAATGCAATTAATAGTAAATACCAAATCTCTATAGTTTGCGAGGCCAACAATTTAATTTAATTTCTTCATTGTTTTGACTAACGAACTATTTACTATAGATGATAGTAATGTTATTTAACTATTCTTCTTTGTAAGAGCGGTAAAAAACGGTTAACTATTCCAAACGTGAAATACGTGAGCTATCGTACTTTCAACTTAACTAAAACTCAGCGAACCGTCCCATTTATAACCATTTATTACAAGATAAGTAATATTTGTAGTTTACACGAGTTGTACACACATAAATAAAACACTTTTAACAGCTTAAAATACGAAATGTATTAGATAACTTATTTACAATTTATTTCGATTACTGCCGTGGATCACGACGTGGATCCCCGTAAAAAAGTGACCGTTAAAAGTGTTTTATTTAAATACTTACAATAATATTATATGAAATCCGAATTCACACAACTTTCTTCTAATGTTAGTAAAAGTGTCATTAGCGTGTTTCGCTTTATTGAGCTTTGTGTACAGAAAATAAATGGTATTTTATTGCATTTTAATAGCTCAGAATGGGGCATATGATTCAAATGTAGGTCGGTATCGCTTTTGTTGTGGGGCAAAAAATTAATGAAGCCTGATTTATTTGTTACGAAAACCATTTACTTACTATAGTACTTTTAAGCATTTTTATGGTAGAGGAGGATAATGCACGGGGTTTACTTAACGGGAGCCCACGACCTTCTCAAATCAAATCAAAATCAAAAATCTTTATTGTTTCCTTATATATGGTACAGAATCGAAAGTCCCTAGTCCCCACACTAGGGCAAGCCTGTGTCGTGGGTGACTAGTCTCTTCCAGATGATGGGTTACAATAAATAAAGACATCTAAGCTAACTTATGTCTACTTACGATTAGTGTCTATTTAGGTGAGTATTTGCATTATGTGTGTTAGTGTATGTATGAAGTGAGAGCGTGTTACGTGTGTTGATATAATATAGGTATGTAACAGAATACGTGTGATAGGTGGATAATGTAAGTTTACAATGCTAACGAAATATGAAATAGACTTATTACAATTATTTACTTAACATTACTAACGGAATAAACTTAATACAATTAGTAACTCAACATTACTAACGAAATTAACATTTTACAATCTGATTCCTTTTCGGTAGCGTAAGACAAACGAGCCCATTATACCGTGCTAAATCGAGATATCACTTTTGTCAGTATCAATTCTAAAACGAAAATAGAAATAAAATCTCTCCGCAAGAATCTAGCAGTGACCCGGCCAAATTTGAGAGACCTTCCCTACCCAAAGTAAATATAATCAATTTTCTTTCAGATGATAAATGAAACGGTAATGCCGCTTTGAGGATGATCAACGGAACGGACCCGCCGAACACAATATACCACATTTACGAAATAAGATGAATTGCTTATCCAAAATGAAATTGAAAACGGGACGTTGTGCACAACAATGAATGAGCCGGTCTTCACTAACCCTGGCGAATTACACGACTTCAATGTAACGTGGGGTATTATTGCGAGTAATTACAGCTTCAAGGTCAACGGAACTGACTATGGTGGTGACGAGGACGTGAACAATTGGTGGGCGCTGATAGCGCTGGTGTTGGTCGTGTGTACGGCCGCTGGCAACGTGCTGGTGTGCTTAGCCATTTATCTGGAGAGGCGACTGCAGAATGTGACCAACTACTTCCTAATGTCGTTGGCGATCACCGATCTACTTGTAGCTGTTCTGGTGATGCCGGTCGGTATTTTGACGCTTGTTCGAGGTGAGTGCTTAGCGACACTTTATTATTGTCAATTAAGGTAAAAAAGTAACTCCTTTTAGGTTTATCTATACTAATAAATGAAGCTTAAGAATTTGTTTGTTTGTTTGTGGAAAATAATTTTTGTGTTGGTTGGACTATTTATCGAGGAAGGCTATAAAACATCAGGGTGCGACAAAAAAGAGTAAAAACAGCGGGAAATGTGAAAAAATCAGGGGAAATTTTTCACCTTTGAAGATTTCCGTTGCGTGCACTACGAAAACGGTTTAAGGTACCCAAAAAATATTTACAAAAGAATGAAGTTTTGAGTTTAAAGAGAAATCTTTAAACTGCAAAAAATACATTTTGAAAACCTTAAACATGTCCAATAACACTAATACGCAGACGAAGCCCCTGGCACAGCTAGTATTAAATGATTCGAAAGCATATAACTAAAACAGAATAACCACCTCTACAATAATGAATAATATATATTGTTGGAAATCATCAGAAAAACTCAACTACCCGCCACACTGAAGGCTATATAAACAAGCCTCAGGCAGCGGCTCGTACACTTCTTTCGTTGCTCGTTGTACGGAACGGACGTGCTGCCCGGTCGATAGGCTTTTGTTGAATTTAAATTTATTTAGTTGTTGTGTTATTTTGTTTTTATTTTAGTAAATCTGCTAATGATTTCTAAAAATATAATATAAAATATAAATTTCTTCTTTCCACAAGGTCTTGCATTTATCATTAAAAAAAACTAACGAACACTTTACATCATATCATTAGTGTTAAAGTCGACATTATGAGTTGTCTGTATCAATTGAAGAATGCGACAATGACGTGTAGAACGTGGTAGCCTAGTTGGTTACAGCAGCAGCATGGAACGCTGTAGATGCTGCTTCAAACACGATGTTGAAATACTTTTTTACTCAGTGTTAGTAAATGTACGGCTTTTACTTTTCAAACCTGTATTTAGAAGAAACACTAAATAAACATATTTTTACAAGAGAAAGCACTGAATACAATGGTTTATAATTAACAAAGACGTGTAATTAAAAATCTTTTTGCGTCCTATTCATACCTGTTTTCCGGGTTCCTTACTTAGACAATTACTAATTAGTTCCAAAGTCTAAGTATACTTAAACGAAGAGAGTTCTTCTAATCCTCTTTAATTAGTTCATGTTAAAGTTCAGCTGTAATGTCCTTTTAAAAAAGATCTTTGCATAAAACTGACATTAAGCTGTGGTTCTTCCTATGTACACTAAGACTTGGACTCTGTTTGTTAAAATGTGTTTTTCTTTCATAATAAAGTATAAAGCATCTGGTTCACTTGATGGAAATTAAAATACCTCGGATATTCTCGGATGTTTTTTCTATCTGTGGTTTCTGGCCCAGATAGAAATTCGATATTCCTACCACTCATTTAATATCCAGATTTCCAGGCGAAGGCTTGTTTCAGAAAAAATATAAATAAACATTTTGTACCCGGTCATGATCGAATCCGCGACTCGTCGATTTCTAGCCATGCGTTACTACCATTATATCAACGAGCCTGTTAAACTCAAACGTTTTCCATTCTTGCAGATGTTTCTGACAAATTTTTAATATCTAATTCTGTTTAATACTTGAACCTTAGTTGGCATGCAATTCGCGTCGTACGTATGTATTGGACGGGCATGCTATCAATTTCTTGTTCGGTATTATAGATCCATCGCATTAATAATCATAGTAATTGTATATTATACCCCTAGTACTATTCCATTCTAACGAAAGTACGAGACAGCGACTAAGGGTCGTGAAATACAAAATTTCTCCACTTTCTTACCGCACAGGACTAAGCGCCTTTTTATCTTAATTAAGCGGGAATTAAGCCGTACACCGTATTTTAACATAATTAACTCACAATGATAGCCTTTGTCCCCGAAATGCTGACGTCATCGCGAAGCCACCTTTGGAAGGCACAGCTGTCAGTTTCAAACCTTTACGTTGCTAATTCAAGATTAGCAACCTTCAATTAAGGGTCGTGTCGGGGTGAAATGATTTTGTTTGACTTTGCATCATTCGCTCTCTATGTACCTAATAAAATAAGACGGAATTGTTCGAAAATTTGACAACGACCGAACCGATATTCATAAATTTGAAATAGGGTCGTAAAGATGAAGTTGCGAGCACGTTTAATTTTACCTGTTATTACCAAATTTTTAATTTAGTTAAACAAATGCAACACTTAATCTCCTTAGGCCTAGTAATTATTACTTCCTCTTACTTTTTCGCGAAACGCCAAGCATTGTTATCTTTAAAGTATTGATGAGAGAATTTTGACTTCATTAGCACACACATAGATTGACACAAATAAAAATAAACACATAAACGTCTTAAAATGCGAAATATATTTGGAAAGTTTACTTTTGTTTCCCAGCCAGCCAGTTTTTTCAAATCCCAACGACGAAACAAACGACCGTAGCATAGCAGTTTTGATATTAGGGACACTATCCTAGACCCCCGTGTCCACGGCCGCCGCATCCAAAATGTAGTTAAATTAAAGTAAAAACAAGTTAACTATAATAATATATATATTTACCGTTTTAAACCGTTAAACGTTTATTATTTAAATGACTACTCACGTAAACTGAAATACTAATGAAATACTAAAAGAATTAACGAGCAAAAAAACTATATATATTTCTATTAGTAAAGCTACGTATTACAAGTTCGAATGGAAGTAGAATATTTATAAATAAATTAGCCAGAATAATACCTAGTCGACGTAAGTCAAACTCGGGTCACATTGAATAACCAAAGTAGAAGTAAAAATAGAGTGAATCGATAATGCAGCAATGTCAGGTGAGTATTGTGTAGACTTCGTTTCGTTTCGTTTGATACATATTTTTTTGGGTATCTAAACCGTTTTCGTAGCGTACGCAACGGAAACTCACAAGCATTTCCCACTGTTTCGTCACTCCTATTAGTCATGGCGATTTTTATAGCATAAAACCTTCCTCGATAAATGCTCTAACCAACACAAAAATAATAGTTCAATTCGAATCAGTAGTTCCTGAGACTAGCGCGTTCTAACAGACAAACAAACTCTTCAGCTCTATATATTAGTATAGATATATATGAACAAGAATAGCCAAATGATTGAGAACATTAATATAACATCATTTATAATTTGTGCCTCTATTAAAAAGAATAGTTGTTCATTAATTCAAAATTCGAGTTTCTTTAGTGAAATTTTATCCATGATTGGAGTTAATACGCTGTGCTATTTGAAATTATTCCTCGTAAACAATTGAACATTATATTAGTTTAACACACTTTGACGGGTTAAAACGCGAAATGGATTCGTTAACTTAGTTACAATTTATACCATTTAAATGTCTCGAAAACTAAAGCCAATGCTAATATAAGATTTTTTCTCTGAATCAGAAGATACTTTTTATCACTCCATACGCTTACTTAACTCCGCTGTTATTTGTGGGAGACAATTTTTTAAATATAATGTATTTCTAGCTCCTTAGTGTAATTAAAGCGGTCGTGGATTCGATCCAAATGTTTGTAATCAATAAATGTTAGACTTTGTCCAAAAATCCATCGTACGAAGCTGTGTGCCCACATAAAATAAATATACATCTAATAATTACGCTTTGGATATTCTGAAACTAAAGGAATATTTGAAAATAGGGCTATAGTTACTGAATATCGATAAATTTGCAAACTCAAAAAAAAAAATGTAAAACGCGTTGGTTCACTCGTATTACGTAATGCTAACGATAAGACCGTATACGAGGATAATAGTAGGTTTACACGAAAATAGCTGCATGTCTAGTTTCGTAATGATGGCAATTTATAAACGTCTGTATTTAGCCGCCGCGGTTAGACGAGTAAGTTTGTTGCTGAAACAGCCATTTGCTGTATACAGCGGTGAATTATGATACATTTTTACAGCGCAATAGTTCAATGGGAATGAAAATCTTTGAAAAGTTTTTTGTTACGTCAGAAGTGCCTCGTTCCTGGGTTTGAATTGCGAGTTGGGCGAAATGTATCTTTGGTACCTATTTGGATAAAACCCTCATGGGTACCATAACGTGTTAAAACCCTTCAACCGGAATAGCGTGGTGGGTCCGAGCTCTTAGAACCGTCTTTAATACAAAACCTGTGCCCAGCTTAACGACATTAATTGATAAAAATGAAGATTCATTTAACTTAGAAAGCCTAAGACAAAACTATGTGTTTATTCAATAAATAATCAAACTTCATTGTTTTATGTTATTTTATATTATGATAACTTGAACTAATCTTATGTAAACTATTATATACCCAAAATTATAAATTTGTAACTTGTAACGAAGCGGCATATTAGTAAGAAGTAGGCATTTAATATATCTATACTAATATATAAAGCAGAAGAGTTTGTTTGTTTGAACGCGCTAATATTAAGAACTACCGGGTCTATTTAAAAAAATATTTTTGTGTTGGTTAAAACATTTATCGAGCAAGGTTATAGGCTAAAATAAAATAAATAGTTGGGCTGCATATTATTTATATAAATAACATTACGTTATATAAACATCGAAGAACGAGCATCGTTGTTCGTCGACTCAATATTAAACGAAAATGTTTGTTTCAGGATACTTTCCCTTACCGGCTGTGTACTGCCTCGTGTGGGTCTGTCTGGACGTGCTTTTGTGCACTGCATCCATAATGCATCTATGCACGATCAGTGTTGACAGGTAAATTATGAGTCACATCGAAAAATATAGCTTATACGATAAATACACATTACACTTAAGTATAATCCGACGTTTCGGAACCATGTCCACAGTTGCTACGCAGCATTTAAATCGCCACGTTAAGATAGAAGTGGGTTTACTAATATATGTTAAATTTTAAGCCGTTAAAATACCATTACTTAACTAGCGTGCATTCAAAAATACCTGAATCAGTGTTTGCTTTAATCAAGGAACCCTCAATATTTGAGGATATCAACCACTCGTCGTGAATCGTCAAAATGTATTTCTCAATTACGACGCCCTTAATTTTGTTTAATAAAGAATTTTACTTAGAAAAGCAAGCTATACAAATGATGGCAATATGGTGTCTAATGTCATTCGCTTGAGCGCAACAGATTAATAATATTACTCATCCACAGATATCTCTCCTTACGGTATCCGATGCGGTTCGGTAGAAACAAGACAAGGAAACGGGTGACCATCAAGATCATGTTCGTTTGGATATTGTCTACGGCAATGAGCCTCCCACTAAGTCTCATGTATTCAAAGGTAAATAATTAACATTACGCAAGTATTATGGTTGTAATTGCATTGCGCGTGAGTTGCATGTATCCATTGATTGAAGACAGTCGCCATCTCAGGCCACGGCAGCTCAATTAGTGAGTGCAGCAACACAGTGCGTTGTGGATCCCAGTTCAATTTCTGCCCGTGACGTCAATTTTCTATTCATTTGAAACGTTTTATTTATAAAATGCTATCATATGCAATAACATGATAATAATATTGTAGTTGTTTTTCGTTAGTCAAGTAACTATATAGTATTGATAATAAGTAAGAGTTCCCAGGGCGCTTTCGAGTTGTTCTATGTCGTTTCAACCTTTTAACGACCACAGCTGGGCGCAAATCTCCTCTCATATAGATGAGGGTTTACAACGCCATTGGCTTTCTCAACCACTATCATTAGTCATTAAGTTAGTGGTAATAAATAGGACCGACCACCTTCCACCACTTCCAATTTCGAGATTCCGATTTGATATTAGAAATGTTTTGGAAAAAATTATCATACGATATTTCTAAAATTTACAAATCATTTTCTGTGCTTACAATAATAAAAAACATATATATTTTGGCTAAACGTAACCTAAATTATAATGAATTACACATGTGTAACAATTGTATTATCACTTGGCGCCCTAAGTAACTGCTCTTAGATTTATCCCGTTTCCAGCTAAGCACATTGCCACTTCCGTCTTCTAATTGCTCTAAATAATAAACGTCACTACACTCTAATTACAATTAACGCCAAGAAACCCTCAACACATACGCCACCAACGGTAATTGAGGCACGAGAAATAATATGTAGAATATGCCAAAGCAATTTTAATGTGACATTAACGCTTCAAAACTAAGTATTGTCTGTAGTTCACGCGAGTAAACTTTAAAATAAAACACTAAACGGTTTATGACGCGAAATATATTAATAGGTTTAAATTTAACATTAGGTTCTCCTTCAATGACAATGGCTGCTGCAAAGCATCGGGCCTTAATTAAACAAAATTGAAAATGAGGTAATTTCAAACTGTCTTATTTAAATTGTTGAAGTTTGTGTGGCTAATAATCAAGGGATCGTGGTTTCGATTGACACCTGGTCTGACATAATCCTAAAATCTGTTTATCATTTTTCATTCGCAAAGAGTTGGAATACGTCCCGTACGGATCATGAACTACGATCCACAGATAGAAAAGCAATAAAATGGTACATCTGCGTCTTCAATCGATGTTGATTTCCAAATGTCATAAATTAAAATAGGTCGAGAGCACATTTATTTCACCTTTCTTAAAGTGCACCCCAAGCTTGTCTGTCCTCCTCGGTGGTAATACCATAAACGTTTGCATTAGAAACGTAAATAAGGTAATACATATTTGATGCACACATCTCATATTCCTCCTTTAAGATGATGTGTTCGGGTTTTACGGCACTTTTCCTCTTTTCCCGTAATAGAAAGAAAATAATCCAAATCATTGAAGCGAATTGGACAGTCGACTTGGTAATATTTTTAGAAATGAGACCCTTTTTCGTTGAGTGTCTTAAAAATATACAGCACTAATAGTTCATTTGTACACATTCTCAATCTATACAAATAAATAAAATTGAAGTTTTTCACTAAATGCCTATTCAAGTTACATACATTATATATGTTTTCTGTATTTCTTCTATTTAAATTAAAACTATAAACTTTTATACTTGGCAAAACTGTATATTCTTGGTAGTAGAATCGAACTATGTACACACTTTTTCAAAATTGTGAAATTATAAGCTGGAAAATCACTTAAACCGAATTTCTGAGCGCCCGTTCGTACAAACCAAATTATACCCATTAGCACGCGCAACCCACGCGCATATCATGGCCGCATCGAGCCTCTGCTTTATCACAAAGGCTCTGCGGGCTTTGCATGTTCTTCCATAGCTAGTTACTTAGCAAGACCATATAATATTATAGATTCTGCCAGCACTTTATATAAAAGTAAGAGCGTTTTATATGGTGTTTTGTGTTTAATAATTGTACATTTAGCTAAAATTGCTCTTAGTTTGTCACAAACACTATCAATGTGGGCTTTCCAGTTCAGTCTTTCGTCTATTGTTAATCCTAGATATGCACTAGTTTGAACTAAGAATACAGTTTGTGCCAGTAGGGTTTCTGTGTAGACACGAGTGGCTGTGAGCTACTATTTTCGGTGTAAGATAATGCTTTGTTATGACTCGTTCTGGTATGCATTAGCTTTGTTTTATCTTTGTTAAGAGTTAATCCTACTCATGAGACCATTTTGATAGGGAGTCAAAATCTATTTGTAGTTTTTGCTCCGCGTCCTCTACGCTGTGTCCAGCAGATATAATGCAAGTATCGTCGGCAAATTGATATTTCTTACGATATTTGCGGTATTAGGTAAGGTGTTATACGCGAGAAAGTGCAAAGGTCCGATTACAGATCCTAGTGCTGTGCCTTTTGACACTGGGTTGCTATCTTCATTGTATACTCTTACCTTGTATGTTCGATTTTGTAGGTAGTCTTTGCACCAATTGAGTAGCCTTAACCTTTTGTTCCATATATTATAAGCAAGTATAATCTTATTCGCATTATTAAAGCACCTTGTTTACCCTTGTTTCAGAATGAAGAATCGGTGCTGATCGGTGGTTCCTGTCAAATCCCTGACCCTCTATACAAAGCTATTGGATCCGTCATCTCCTTCTACATCCCCCTGGGGGTGATGCTCCTAACGTACGCCCTGACGGTGCAACTGCTGGCCAGGCAGCGTAAGGGGCTCGGCCAAGGATGGGCAGCCGGCTGGCTCGGTGGGGTTCCGATCGGTATTATTATTATGGAACCTTATAAAACTGCAGGAGGAGCAATTAATCAAAAAGCACAAAATATTCTTTTTTGAATTTATTTAGTACCTGGGTCAAGTGAAATAGCTATTCCTGCAGTCTTACCCGATATTTTAATAACATAAACTATTATACTTAACGGTTTAAAACAAAAATAAAATAAAGAATCTTACAGAGATATAAACATCTTAAACCATATATAATGGTTGTTACAAAAATTTTTTTAGAGTTAAGTCGTAGTTAAAAATAATTTTGCTTATATGTCACGTGTTAATCCACTACCGTGTTTTGTAATTAATGCTTCTCGCGTAAACTACAAATAATACTTAATAAGATGTTGTGGATAATATTTTTCAAACATTCATAGTTCTATTTTGTGCATTAATTGTAATTGACTTATTTTAAAATAAATGACGCACCACAAAGTAAAAATAATTATCTAAACCGAATTAGAATGTTTTTAGATTAATTTGTTAACCATCTCCATTCGTAAATTTATCTACTTTGCGACTTAGATGTGAATAAAAACGCAACCTTTCTACTTGCTATAGTCAGTATGGTGTGTTTTATAACAGAGGAGGACAGACAGACATTGTTGGCATGAAAATAAAAATAAAATATATTTTATTCTATTTAAAATTTGAAAAAATATTTAGATTCGTGAAAAATTTATTGTTTGTCTGCCTGTTCGTCGTGATTCTACAGAGTGTTCAAAAGAGCAAAATAACTGAGAAGAACACCCAAGAAACCGGCTTTTTTTAATGTCTCATAAACTACTAATACATTGTTGTGAATTTATTAACCTAAGGAGCAATTCATATTACAGCCAGACGGTCTTGCCATTAAAGAAATCGTTCAGACAATAATACGCCTTTTGAGACAATCTAAATTTTATGACTTTTTAAAATTTATTTATCGATAAATTTGAAATCTCGACTGGCAATGTATTTTAATATAAAATGGTGATCTGAGTTCGAACGAAGTAGAAATACTTGGCTTTGGTTATTTGGACAAGCGAAACGCGACTTTGATATTTACCCATTTATTATAAAATTGTACTGAAATACCAGCGCTGTAACTGAAGAATAGAAATATTTTGTATTAAACTCTAAAATAGTTTGAATGGAGAGATAGCATCACAATGTTAGCTCCGGGTCGGTGTTGTTGAAAGTAATCACTAGAACTGTCGATAGTGTTATTCAAAAGGCTTATTGCTTCGTTGTAGTATTTCGTGTTATACTTCTCGAGATATTGAATAAATCTAGAAGCTTGTGAAGCTTGTGTAAAAGTTTTAATACATTTGAAAATTTCTGGACTCTAATTCTCACCCAACAGTGTAGAATACAGAATAACGGCACAGCATCCTGTTCCTCTAGGTTTTACATATTTGATCATACCAATATACTATTTCAGTTAATACATTCAGTTTTCAAAGTAATATCATAACCATTACAATTATTACGTCAGAGAACAGGCAATCATGGGACTCGCTTAATGGAACCTGAAATACCTCAGTAACATAACATGAGATTTTGAACAATGATGGCTTTAGACATTCAGGAATTCACAGACTTAAGCCGAAACGCGATAAAACTTCACAGCTTTTTCATCTGTCTAAGGCGGTTCTTGACTGGGATGAAATTTGATATTTACAACACGCATGTATTATGTAAATTTCAAAAATTGGAATCAGTAAGGATCACCGCCGAACCAGGCAACGAAATCATAAAGATTTTTTTTATTTTTATAATTTAGATGAATCTCGTTTTCGGTAATAGTCTCGCAAGCGAACTGCCGATGATCAAAACGTTTTTACAAATGGAGATTTGGGCGTTCTTATTTTAAATCGTAAAGAGGTTTTGAGAGGTCGCATTTAAATACTTTATGCGAAAGGGAAGGTCGTGGATAAGCGCAAAAAGTAGGATATTATTAATGGGATATTATATTGCTGAGATAACAATTTTATAAGTTCCGCCCATAACTGGGGTGAGGGGAAAATAAACATTAAGCCCACCGCTCTGCTCCAGTGTGAGTTGGCGCACACAATTACAATGACAACAAGTACTATAGCAGCCGAGGTGCGAACCTCTTCAACTGGAGTCGAGTAAACTAACCACTAAACCAACGAGACAGTTTTAAAATTTGTTTTCTTATTTTTTTAATGTTGTCGAGTTATAGACTTAATTGTTAAACAATACGAAATATGTACTCATATATTTATTTAATTCGCGTCTATAGAACGACGTTGTACGTGGAAACGGTTTCTCAGCCCGAGAGGAGGCACTCCGCAACACTCAGCTGCGTCCACGGAGACAGAACTACCACCGATCGATACTAGAGACCTCTGGCTGCAAGACTCCAGGTACGTTTGGTGTCGCTTTGAAATTATATAGACCAATGTACTATCGCTTATATTCTGTGCTAGAGTATGTGCTTTTAATCAAAACTTATAATAAATTAAATCACTCCTTAAACTTTATTATACATATACACATATATATGTATAAATATACACTTCGCAATTCGTCCATCACTAGTGGCTATCGTTAGCCAGTTCTTGTGGCTACGGTTTATTCTTTAATGTTAATTTAAGAATCGCAACGAAAGTTTTAGTAGTAAAAGTTTTGAAAAATTGAATTCGATATGTTTCTTAGCAAAAAAGTATGTGGAAATCGTTTTCTTGCGATTCTAGTTACACTGTCCGAAAGATGCAAATAATTAATAAATTGATATATTACGGTGATGATATCGTGTCTCACTTTTATCATAAAACTTTTGCAATATAAGATACATTTCAAGCTATATTAATATGTGGCTTTTAATTTTAAAACTGTCGTTAATAAAAGTAACATGTGCGCTTGTTAAATCAGTAATTAAGCATTTTTATATTGCATACACGCGTTTCAGTGTGCATTCACAATTTAATTATTACTAAGTATGCGAGCTATGCAACCAAATCTAATTGGTTACTTGAAACAGCGAGTTCCTGCATTACAAACTCGTCTAAATAATTCCATATTATTAATAGTAATTTAATAAATAACAGCTCTTGTTAATAATGTGGTAATAATTGTGCGTTTCTTGTAATGTGTTTTAAATTAAAATAGTATTGGTTGACTCGACGAACTACCTAAGTTAGCGAAACAATGAATGAGATTCATAAAAGAGGTTTAGATGTTTTGGGTAATAGTTTTCAGTATTTTGATTAAAAATAGTATTTGCTGATATAAATCGATATATTAAAACGAATAAAACTTAAAATATTTTATTTACAAATCAAATTAAATACAGAAATAAAACCTATGACCAGTGACTGACAATGACAATCTCAACCACTTTACGGTTTCGCCTAGAGCGCATTGTAATTTAGACCTTAACAAATATCAAACTGGGTTCAATTCCTTTCAAAAACATTTTGTTATCTTTCACATTGTTACGTGAAAGTTTTAAATACTCAAGTAACAGTTTTCTCCCTTTACTGTATCTTAGGTTCGTCAAAGCAGACCTTGAAATAGTTTCCCCTCTACGTCCCTTATAACTTTGCTGTGATCGGATTACAAATTGCCTTTGAGCATTCCTAATTCAATCATACAGTCTTGCACTGTGTCACTTATTAATAATATTTTAAATAAAGCGCTTTCAAGTAATTTCAACGAGTAATAAATTTGTCGTTTTAGATCGTTAGAAGTGTTTTATTTAAATGTCGCCTACTCGCGTAACTACAGACACAGTACTCGGAAGATATCTCGAAAACCAAATGTTTAAAATTTATGCACATGATTTGGTTCGTTATACTCTCGCTGTGAGTCTGTTCCGGTGTGTTTTCATTACCATAGTTGCATGTTAATTATGCTTATTTAAGGTTCTATTATGTTTGTCGCTATCTGTTACACCAATTCTGTTTTCAGTAAATGCTTTTCACTGTTCTTGACCTTTAACTTTTTCGCTTAGCCGCTTCATTGTTACCTAATAGTCGATCCACTGAACTCTTAACTAATTTAGAATTTTAAAATTAAATACAATTTCTTTTAATACAACAAATGAGAGATTCTTACAATCATTACAATTATTACTTTTAATAACAACAAAAGTAAAACTATGAAATAAATCAGTCAATATTATTTATTTTTCTAATAGATGAGGACAGACGGGCTCGGGGTTAACTTGATGAAAGGCGAAATACCTCGACCACGATTAATCCGAACAAGATGCGATGTCGATCTATTTTTGTTTTGGATATTCTGAATTCCATTATTACAGACTGAAATCGAAACACGATTAAATTTGATAGTTTTCCATCTGTCGACGGTGGTTCGTGAAACAAAAGCGAAGTCCAAAATGTTGCATTAAAAGTATACAATGATTAAAAACATGTTAGACCCGGTGAGGATCGCGCCCAAGACCCGTCGTCTATTAGCTATACATTCATTCCAACGAACCGATCCGAATTTATTTTTTACTTTTCTTTATAATATCTAATGGTACCTAGTAGTTGTTTATGTAACAGTTTACCTTCATTGGTTCCCTGTCATATCTAATTTAAAAGACAACACCACATAATTTCACGTTTGTCACCCATTTGAAATATTATACTTTGTCTTGCATTGCTATATGCTATGTGTTATATGTGTCTGTATACCATGTGTCTTGCACAGTGAGCCCGCTCCATCAGCAATGAGCGCATTGCACCATTTTGGGGCAGAGATGTTGCGCCTCTCTCGTGGCTTGGAAGCTTCTGCTGCAGCTAAGACATCCAAAGGGTATATCCAGCTCTTATTTGTTCGCTTCATCCAGGGCTGTTATAGGAAAATAGTACGATTCGATATTTAAACGATCGTTAGTTAAATGCCTTTAACGATTTAAAACGTGAAATATATTATTTAAGCATTTTATCTACGTCCCGATGTTGCAAAACACCCAAAATGTACGATTTGTTTCAAAAAGCGTACTATATTAGTTAAATATGTTTTACTAAGTTTTAATTAAATATCTGTCCTATAACTGCCCTCGCCAACCGAGACATACATACTTATTGTACGTGTTTCACATGTTAATTTGTTTCCCCGTTGAATTTGAATTATATTCCACGCTACATTGTTATTGCTACTTATGTTGCTCACACAAAAATGAAGTTTCATTCATTAATTTAATAATTCCAAGCATTAACAAAACTGCATGGGTCGTAAAATTATTCCACATTCGATGAAACTGGGAAGTTATAAATCTATTTAAACGTAATCCAGATGAAGTCTGTTTCGTTAAAGGAAATCATTAAATCTGGTCCTAAATCATTATGTTGATGTAAGGTTCGAAGGACGTCGAATGTTCGCTTCTGATTTATCAACAATGTTATGTACCGATTGATCATAATATTTGACAATTTAAATGTACGGTCTGCGGTTTGATTGCACAATATTTTACAATATCAGTCAACCGTGTCGGCTGACGCGCTTAAAATAATACAAACTACTTGTTCATTCGATGAACTCCATAACTAGATTCGTCATATTTCATTACACATATACTCCTATTATTTATAGTAAAATAAATTGTTTACAGAACAAATATATCAGAAAAGGGAGGTATGCTCACTCCGGGCTCCTTAAGTGTATCTTCGAGTTCACCATCATCTATGCTACAAGACAAGAGACGACCGTCGTCTACTTGTGATCCAAATCCTCTCCAACGCGCTAGAAGTGCCTCTGATGACGAGAGCAACGACGGGCTATTAGCACCGGTGACGTTAACCGCAAAATCCAGAAGTTCCGAAGACGGTTTACTCCTTCCTCCTCCGTGCACATGCCCCTATTTTGGCTCAGAATCGACCCCCCCAAGAAGGACGACGGAAGTCATAATCGTACCCGGAGGAGACATAAGCGGATGCAATGGCTATCCCAGAAACGGAAATTTAAAACCAGAAGAGACTCCTCATTTCTTCAGACGCCCAAGCCGAGGCGCATCCTCTATGGTGACTTGGGAGGAAGCTAGACGGTTTCGACGCGGTTCTAGCTTCGGGACAAGGACTACTCTGTCTACCCCGGTGAGAGCGATCCGCAGTCAGAGATCAATAAATTCGCGTCCCCAGGGTCCACCGACTCCGCAAAGACAAGCGCCAAGAACCCACCACTCGAGAAACTCGAGCGTCATTTCTCGAAACTCATCACGCCACGGAAGAATATTGCGCTTGGAACAAAAAGCGACGAAAGTGCTCGGTGTCGTGTTTTTCACGTTTGTCGTGCTGTGGGCGCCGTTTTTCATTCTCAACATGGTGCCGGCTGTATGCCCCGAGTGTGAGAAGAGAATACCTCTTTGGGTGTTTGATTTTGTTTTGTGGTTAGGTTACGCTTCATCCATGGTGAATCCTATATTTTACACGATTTTTAACAAGGTGTTCCGACAAGCCTTCAAGAAAGTGCTTCTCTGCGAGTACTGCAAGAAGAGATAGCCAGCACCCTGGGAGCGCATCCGACCGTCTTCTGACCCGGGACTCGGAGCGCTCTCAGTGAACAGGAACGTGAGATCTCACTTTGTCTGAATTGAGCTTTAAGCGAATACGCTTCTAGGTTACAAATAATGTAGTGTTTTATTGGCGAAGCTAGGCGATACCAAAACTTATTATCGTACATCGTTATAAATTAAAAAGTAAGACTTCATTTAGATAATATTTTGCTCAGTTATACGTTTTGTACTGTTTTTACGTTTTTGTTTTGTGTTCATACATTAACGGTTATACTATATTGATATTTATTTCTTAGATAATATTTATTCATTAGATTCTGGAAATAGACATAAAAAAATAATACGAAATTATTTTGGAGTCTCAAAGACTCGTCTACCGATAAAAAGGCGTAAAGTAAATCGGCGTTTTGAGTTTAATCTGGATATCTGTCTTTGTGGACAAATATAGGTCGAGAGCAGAACTATGCGGTGTTTACATTCTACCCTCTTCTATTCTCGCCTCATGATCTTCTATTCTCTCCTGCCATACTTGGATATTTCACTTCTTTTTGGTGGTTTATCTTCATAACACTACATAAACAAGATCCGCTGTCAACCCAACTAGGCTTTGGATATAATTCTTTGATAAAATATCAGCCTTTTGTTTGAATAATATATAAATGAAAGTGTAATGCTAGTCCGTAACAATATTTCATGTAAATGACGTCATGTTTAATTAGCACTGTTAGTTCAATTTGAAAATTGTATTATTCTAGTCATACTAATGAGTCGCGATGAATTATGAATACGTAATGATATTTATGATATTAATAGGTAATAGCACAGAGTTGTCACAATTCATACAACACTTGAGTTCCTCTAGACAGCTTTGTTTAGTACTTAGTGACGAAACCTCTGAAAGTTTGTGTGTTACCTAACTGTAATTAAATGGTTAAAAAAATAATTTCTTTATATCCTGTAAATTGTAAATGACGTCTACTACCTATTGTAAATATGTATACATAAATATAAGTATAGGTTTGAGATTAAATTGTGTTATAGTAAATATTGTGTATAAAATGAGATTCTATGATATTGATAAAAGATTTAATAAACGTATTATGATGAAAAAAGTCTCGTAATTTTATTCAAAAAGTCATAAAAACTAAACTTTTAGAAACGTTAGTACTTAATTGAATTTATAAAATAAAATGTTCAACTGTTAATTTTTAAAATATATACAGAAACGTGAAGTTGACTGATGTTTGTATTTTAATAATGTATTAAAAATAACAAATACCAAAGTAAAGTTCCTACGTTCTCGTTTGGTAGCTCAAATAAAACCATAAGGTAAACAGTGAAACCGCAAAAATGTAAATGTGGTGCCTCTAAAATGCACAAAACTCAGAAATAAACTCTATTGCATTTTCAGAACCATTTAAACGAGATCAAATGCCACGACAAGGGCTCGAGCAGGCATAAAAATGGCTGTTTACAAATTCCTATACATATATATTTAAATATTATAGATTATGTAATGTCGGGAATAAGTTTTAACGAAATGTTGAGCTATCCTCGACAAAGCTCGACAGAGAAGTGCTAAACATTAGATAATGCACTCGTGACAGTAAAGCGCCGAAAGACTCCGACCAAATAAAACTACTAAAAACCCATTTCGTCCTGTGAAATGACCGCGAAAGTAAGCAAGCAAATACGAGTAGAAATGAAAATAATATTTTATACTCGTATTCGTAATCTGACCGAAACTTCGGGTGTGTCATTGGGCAAGCTTTGCTTCGGCGAATTGAGTTAAAATCTCGGCCTAGTTTTACGGTTAATAGATTTCGACCGCAACTGTGAATATTTTTACAAGCACTGTTCAACCAAACAAACCTTTCTAACTAACAATAATATTTGTTTCAAGTTGAATTAAACAAAGTTAAATACTGTCTGTAGTTTACGCGAATGTATGTGTAGTTTAAACAAACAAAAGGTTTCACGTTTATTTATAGCTTTGATTATCCAGGTTCATATATTGATCTTCATACCTTGGCCTTCGTTTAAAGTACTCGAAGTTTGCACAATTAATCATTTCTACCACCAGAACGACGTAATCGTTAGCTTTTATACGAAATAATTATAAACTCTTTTGATCCAAATACAAAAAGATACGGTTCTTGAATGAACAGTGCAGACTGTAAAAAACCTCCCTATTCGCGGTTACCGAACATCGATATTTTTCCGTTTTGTGTCCTCAATGCTCCTAATTAAAGCGAGCGGGCTTTTCAAAGAAGTATTAATTGGTAGGCCTTTTATGTCTATGTGACAATATTCCGAAGTTTTTATTAGCTTCGACTTTTTATGACTATGGGTGGCTTTGAAATGCTTATTTTTAATATTACTATATATCTTTTTTATTATATAAGAAACAATATTTAGCAATTAGACTTATAGAGTGAACCTATCACGAAAACATATAAAAAAAGATAGATTCTCTAATAATCGCATCGTAATGTATGTAACACAAAATCTTAAAACATTAATGAACAATTCAGTCAAAAAACAAACAATATGACATTAATTTAAGTATAAAATCTTCAAGTAACAGCCCTGCCTGGTAATCAATTTTTAATACAAAGTGACCTTCGATCTTTTGTGTTAGCGTATTTTTGGCAAAGCCACAGAAATAGAAGCATGCTACGCTTTGAGTTACCTCATTGGTACAAAGAAACAAATATAGGTAGGTGTATTTTTTATTGTTCCGTTATAAGGAAAAACACGGCGAGTAAATACTCTAAGGACCGAGCTAGTTTTTAGCTTTGAAACATTGAAGTGACATTTTGGACGCCCACTATCCTCTTGAGACTGCTGGATGGCTACTGCGAAGCATGTAAAACGCCGATGATAGTTGAAATAACACGAGTTGCACTGTGGCAGTACCCTCAAAAGTGAAACATACGTTGTGTGTATTTGTTATTTTGGAATAGTTACGGAATAATTTTGTACGAATTTCTTTATCAGTATAACAGAACTCCTGACGCGAGTTTTTTTCATTTCATTCATCACTTGTCAGTTTATAAAGTCAATAAAGAAACTTTAACTTCAAAATATATTTCGCGTTAGAAACTGTTAAACATTCAGACGAATTAAGAGTACAAATAGCTTAGTTACATATATATATATATATATATATATATATATATATATATACTATATGTATAAGTCTAAGGTTTCTTTGTAGTTTTTATAAATATTAGACATATAAATTCTGAAACTGACTAGTAAAACAGACAGAAATGTGTCTCTACTCTAAAGTGAAAAACGGAGTTTCCTATACATAATGTAAACGAATCCTGAATACTACACGAATACTAAAAGTAAGTACAATAACTATAATAAATAACAAAACTTTGCACACAAAAAGATCAAACTTTGGCCTTACGAAGTCATCTAATATTCAATACAAGCGATAGGACTTTAGGGAAAACTTTTTGTCTGCTGATAATAATAATCGAACTAATTCTTTTTCTTATTTAGATTCTTTAGATAAGAAGTTGTGCAGTAGGCGCAACTGTACTAGTAGCAATAAAAGAAATCTACATATTTTAAATGCTCAACGTTAGTTAACTTAAAAATAAATCGCATTTCAACTCGTTTGAGAATATAATAGAGTTATTTTGAGGTGTTTAGCGTGTCAATCACAGATACCAATATTCATAATGAAATTAAAAGCAAAACTCATTTTTAATCTTTTATTAAATAGTGACATTCTGGATGACGATAAATTAAAAATGGTCGCATATTCATAAAACTTTGTTTTAAGAGTATATTTTCATATAAATTAGATATATATTGCGTTTTCATAATTTTAAGTTAATTTAAAACGAAAAAGTATAATATAACTTTATTCGAACATTCAGTAAGCTGAAGTCAATATTCAATGTTATTACAACTTAATACCTGTGCGCAAGAGTGCATTTTTGGCAAAGTAGAGACATCAACGCGCTCTGTTGATATAGGTGGCCACGCGGAAGGTTATTACTATGTTTTTTACTCAGTGTATTTTAATGTAAAATTAAATAATGCGTAATTTCAATTAGTGAATAAAAATGATTTCCCTAACGTAGTGATCATAACGATTTTATTTTCTAGTGGCAAGTAGTTTATAGGCCTTTTAGAATATTTAATAAGTTTTTGTCTGGATATTCAGTAAAATTATAAAAAAACAAGGTGCGAGCAGAGCTGTATTGAGGAATCTGGAAACCTCGAAGCAACAAAGGATTTCTCCACTGCACCCTCGGCCATGAAATATAAAAAATGAAACAAACTTCCATAGTCGAATTCTTCAGTAAAATATTAATTGTAAAACGAAATAGTTTTTTTTAGTGTTAACAAACAAAAATATAATTGAATAAATTTTTTTTGCGTTATTTTGGGATAAAAAAAAGTCTCCTTTATGATGAGGCCCCGGCGTGGTTGCCTTTTTTAATCCTCCCCTGTAATAGGGCTCCGGGTGTGGGTAATAGTGTCAAAGCGACCAACTAAAAAACTATCGTTCGCATGTTTTAGATTGTATGAGTTTGATTGTTTTTTTTTTACCGTCATTCTCATGTCATTGCTAATTATTTGTTTAGGCTATTTATCGAGCAGCGAGCTAGCAACAGCAGTTAGTCAGTCGTTGAGGACGAAGCGTTTTATACGTATAGCGAGCTAATCCTTGGGGTAACTGAGCTCCGGACTTTGCTTTAATACCTGCCCTTCGAAGATTTCAATTATAAGCGAGGTGGGTTGCTCTTTGAATAATTCATTACACCTGACTATGTTTGTGCGTTTAAAGATCATACTCTTAATATTTGAGGTAAAGAGAAGTTAATGAACTAAAGTCATGAGCCAAGTTCAATTGATACTAGAAAAGTTTTGGGTGGTAGCATTAACGAAGTTCCCTCTGGGCCAAGAATCACTATCCACAGACGACAAAGCTATGAAGTTTAATCGCGTTTCAATTTC